AAAAAAGGCAATGTACACACAGATCTATTCATTATTAATGCAAAGAATGAACAAATCAAATATTTTATTTGTCCTAATGAGAATTTACAAATTCTCTTTCGAGAAGAATTAGTCGAGCATTTTTAAATCAATTCAAAGTCTTTTTTTTTTGGCAAACTATTGAACGATTGACAGATGTGTGTTATTCCTCAATCGAATTTTCTCTTTGACCAGACGCCTTGCGTATACATTGGTCGATCGTACTAGGCTTATCGGTAGTGAGTACACACACATCCCTATACGTATAGTCCTAGTAGCCGAACAAACGTGTGTGTGTGTGTGTGTGCATGTTTCAATATTGATGTAATCAAATCTCAGCTTGACCTTATTCAACAAGCGTCACCAGATCAAAATCGAGTCGTTTTCTTTCTCTTTTACTCGTTTACTTCGTTCTTTTCTCCGGTTCGTCGATGAGTATTTTCTTTTCTTTACACACATTCTCTTGTTTCTCGTTGGTCGTCATCGTCCTACATACACTGTAAGAAACAAACGATCGTCTCACTTTTTTTTCTCTCTGTCTCTGTGTCTCTCTCTCTTCTTTCTTCTTCATCTCGCTTTCTTTCTCTTTCTCGTCTTCGCACCACTAGCCACCATAGAAAAACGCTTGATGTGCATCTATCTCCACACGTCGCATTAAACAGAACGTGATGATTGAACGTTTACTAGCACCAACTCCTCCAACACAATTGACTGAACCTCTCACTGAACATCCAGAAGTAAAAAAGAAACTCGACTTCGGAAAGAAGAAAACCATGAATTTTCTCATTTCGTTTTAGTTAACTCCAACTTCATTAGTTGACTATGACATTGTGGGTAATAATACATTGATTCTTGGTGAAAACAATTGCGTTCAATGTGGTTTAATAATAAAAGATGAAAGTTATTTACGTGTACATAAACATGGAATCTTTCACGAAAATTGCTTAATATGTTATCTTTGCCATCGGCCATTGATTACCATTGGCGGAGGATATTTTATTCGAAATAATTATGAGCAACAATCACATTTTATTTGTCGACATGATTATCAAACAGCTAATAACAATAAGTAAGACAAGATACTCAACCTTGTAGAGAAAATATGTATATATGTGAAAAAANGTTATTTACGTGTACATAAACATGGAATCTTTCACGAAAATTGCTTAATATGTTATCTTTGCCATCGGCCATTGATTACCATTGGCGGAGGATATTTTATTCGAAATAATTATGAGCAACAATCACATTTTATTTGTCGACATGATTATCAAACAGCTAATAACAATAAGTAAGACAAGATACTCAACCTTGTAGAGAAAATATGTATATATGTGAAAAAAACGAGATAAAATGCAGCGAAATGTGTGTAGTCATGCGTAGACAATTATAATTAATTATGAAGAAAAACGACATATCGATAGAACGCGAGAGTTGTCATTTAAATGTCGTGTGTCATAAATTAAAAAGTATCGAGTATTCTCATCGAAATGACTTATCGATTCTTCGTCTTCTTCTTTCTTTCTTTTTTTTTTCTCATCACACCTGTTTTGTCTTATCATCAATTGATCGGAAAGGCTTCATTTCGTCGATTGATCTGACAGAGCTTCTTGCTTTTCCAGCATCATTATCTATGAACACTTGCGTGTTTTTGTCAATCATCCACGTCTAGTACACTATTGAACACATATCATATTTACTTGTTCAAAAAAAAAGTACGCGAAATAGAAAGGAAGAGAAAAAAAACGATCCTCGATATTCAAGACACACACACATATGCTCAGTCGGGGGTATTTTGAAATCGAACTACTGCCTCGAGCAGCAAAATAAGTAAATCACTTGGAAAGATTATCATCGCGAAGACAACTCTTAGCAGGAGTGGGTAGGGGGTCGATTTGCTCTAAGGTAGAGAATCATCATGTATTGTATTTAACATATTTTCTTAGGTCTTATCAAAATTCAACATATTTATCACCACAATGTTCAAAATGTCAACTAGTTATCTCTGCCAACGAATTAGTAATGCGTGCAGATGATAAATATATATATCATATAGATTGCTTTACCTGTTGTCTATGTAATGTTGTTTTAAAACCAGGCGATGATTATGGTCTACATGGTTCTTTCTTATTTTGTCGTTTACATTTGGAACAAACGACAAATACAACATTTTCACTTTGTTCACCAATCAAAAGTCCATCGGCATCGACACCGAGTTTAACTATGAAGAAAACTCGACATATCACTCAACGTAAACAACGAACTAAATTGAATACATTAGAAAACAATCCGACGACTAATTTTGAAGGATTTTTGAATGGAAATGACCTTTCAAATTCATCAAATTTATTTCATAATCAAATGTCAAACAATGCTCAACAGCAACGAACAAAACGAAATCGAACATCATTCAAACATCATCAATTACGAATTATGAAAACATTCTTTGCTCAAAATCACAATCCTGATTCCAAAGGTTTAAAGATTTTATCGCAAAAAACACAATTAAGTAAACGTGTACTTCAGGTAAATCGATCTATTTTCCTCTCTCTCTCTCTATGTCGAAAATATCAATCATTGTTTAGGTCTGGTTTCAAAATGCTCGAGCCAAACTTCGTCGAGGACTCATTCAAGAACAAGAAAATAAGCAAGATAAAGCTTCAACATCGATCGATAATACCAATTCATCAACAAATGAATTTCTTCAAATGTTGACAGATGATGATATTGCAAGTGGAACATCGAATGATCGTAGTCGCACTGAAGATGACGAATTAGTTGATGAATTGGATGAATATGATAATAACAACAATAATCTCAATACAGACTCAACGAACAATCTTTCTACACATGAATTTAATCATCATTTGCCGCCTTATCCTATGTACCCACTTTTGTGATATTTTTTTTTCTTTTTTCTTTATTATTAAATACAACCAACAGAGTTCAATCGAAAGCAACTCACTTCTCTCTCTTACTTTATTATTATTCCATATGTGTTCTGTGTGACACAATGGGAAAGAAGATAAGCGTTGAATCAATAGAGCGAGAGAAGATTCAAACATGTATAGTTATCATTTACAAATGTATGAGATTGAGATGTACGAACTTCCTTTGTTATATACTATCAATAGACCATTTAATGGGTGGGTCATTGTTATTGACGGATGTGTGTGTGTCGAGATTTATGTGAAAGAAATTAGTTTTGGGCGGAGAGAGTGAAACACAGTTGAGTTCGTTTTTCTTCCCTCTCGAAACAATTTCGTGTTCATTCATCTTAATATAATCTTCCTGTCGACTTATCTCTTTCTCTATTGGCATCGCGTGCTAGTTTCACATACCGTCTCCTGCTGTGCTATACGATCGTGCTCACTGTCAACGACAGTATACTACTGTTGTTTTTTTTCTTGGAAAAAAAAGAGAAGTCGAGAGTAACTCTATTAGAATGGAAGCACGTGTGTGTGTGTGAATGCGCATATAGACTCGTTTCTGTCCTTTTTTTTCTTGTCTATTTTTTTAATTGAACTAATTGCGGGAAGAATTGAACACGCAAACGAGTCAGGTAAGAGTAAGAAAACGAAAGGACAATTGAATGTGAAGGATAGCATTGGGATACACTCTTTGATGGTAGTGCTGTTGATGAAGATGATGATGAGTCAATTGTTCCTCAAGAGAAATTTTTTCGGAAGGTGTGATNCTTGATCTTGCTGGGCGGGTAACGGAGAGATTGACATTCCACCTGCACTAAACAAAAGGTCAGTCAATACTTGGCTAGGAAAGAAAATATATGCTGCTAATTTGCTCACAATAATAACATGAACCAAAAGGCACCAACTGTTGATTGTCTACTGAGAATCAGGGAAAGGCATATTTGTTTTTTCTCTTATGACGAAGTGATTTTTTTCTTTCTTTTCTTCGATTTCTATACAACATACAAACTAAACATTGATATGCAAAAATGAAAAAGAAAAAAAAAAGAACGAACGAACAAAAAATCGAATCAACGCAATACTACTACATAGAACCACATGTTTCCGATTCGCTGTAGTTTACTGATGAAGTTTTCGAACGAATGGATTCTGTTGGCGAGGATAAATTCGATGAAGTAGTTGTGTCTTCTCGTGTTGGCTGAATGTCAAGCATAGTTGAAGGAATAGCGAGTGATGACTGATTCATTGCGGGTTGACTTTGTGCTGGTTGAGATGTTGATGATAGTGTATCACTACGAGATACACTACGACGATACTTTGCACGTGCATTCTGAAACCAAACTTGAAGGACACGTTTGGGTAAATTGGTTTTCTCAGCAAGATTTTTCAGGTCTTTTGCATCTAAATTAATTGATCGATAGAGAGAAGAAAATGAGGTCACATGGGAAAGCGAGCATTTTCGTACCTGGGTTATGGTTTAAATTGAAATAAGATCGCATACAACGTAATTGGTGATGTTTAAAACTAGTTCGTACGCGTTTTTGTCTGGCATGATGATGATGATGAGGTACATTGGATAAATTGTTATTGTTTGTCGAATGTGAATGATGATTTGATGCTGAATTAGGTCCATTGCCATCCATATCAACAACATCAACATAGTATGAAGAATCCAATGATGGAGCAAATAACCCTCCTTCATTCCCTACTAAAGAAACAATTTCAAAGTGGTCACTTGAACAAATTCTATTCTATATTGCACACGATTTTTCAAGTATAACACCATGAATATAATCGATTGAACAGCAGTCTCTAATCCTCATTTAAGCTCTTGAAGAGATATTCTCACATCGTTGAATATGTCTGTCAATCATTTTGAAAAAAAAATACGCACACGCACACACAACGAAAACGATCCTAATGAGAAAAACATACCCAGATTGGATGCTGAAGGAGAAAGAGTTAAGAAATGATCGGATGATGACATCATATCTTCATGCTGCTGCTGCTGCTGTTGAGTTTGTTGCTGTTGACGTTCTTTACGTTTCCGTGTGCGTTTTGTCATGTTAATCGACGGGCCAGTTGGTGTACTAGTGTTTGTCGGTGGTGTTGAAGGAATTAATGTTGGGATAGGAGAAGTGTAATAGCCCGAATCATCGAGAAAACCGGTTGGATGTGAAAGTGGATGATTTTCAATGTTCATATCGATCATTCGACCTGATAGATGCGAATCGTAAGGTTGATGATGTTGTTGTTGATCGAAAAAGTGATGACGACAAAAAATTAAATCATCTTTCAGGCCAAATTCATCGCCTGGATGAAGAGGTACATTACAAGTAACGCATGTAAAACAATCCAAATGAAAAATATATTGTTTAGCACGTAGAATAACTTCATCTTGTCGAATCATCGCATGACATCGTGTACAAACACGAGAACAATATCTTCTGAAACACAAACGTACATCCGTATGAACAAAATCTCTTCTCATTGATTCAAAAAATAACATACTTAATATAATCATCTTTACAAAATATTTGTCCAAATCGTGAGAAACATGTTCGTTCTTGTTCAAGTGATATACCACAATCACAACATTTCAAGCAAGACAAGTGCCAACAACGATCAACAGCCATTAAATAGTATCGATCATCGATTAATGTATGACATCCATAACATACTGTCGACATTGTGTCTAATGTAGGCATTACCTTCTAAACAAAAGGATGTATGAAGTGAAGATGAGATGACGTCGGTGTTATCTTTTTTGAAAACGGAAGTAATAGGAGATATTCATTCTTCTACTTGTCTGAGCAATTAGTTGAGAATAAAAGGAAATGTAGGAGAAACAAGACAAACTTTCTTTTGACTGATCGCGAACGGTAAAACGGATGTTAAAGATCGTTTTTCATATGCAGAGAGAAGAAAGGGAAAGCTGGATATCCGGAAAGATTTCTTATCTGAAATATTAAGACGCATGCGCACACGAATGTCTTGTCAAATGTCACATAAGACAATTGATAATGATCGTATATGGCAACGATTGCTGTTTGAAGTTAAATGAACTTCTGTTAAATATTGAATTTTCTCTTTCTCACTTTCCAATGTTAGACACACAATCATTATAGAAGAAATGAAAATAAACGAAAGTTTATTTAGGTTTTTTTTCTTCTTCTTCTCTCACTAGCTTTTTCTTTTACACAAAAAAAAAGAAGAAGAAGAAATCTGTAGAAACTTATTCGTTTATATAAACAAACAGCAGGCTCATGTGACCCAACATCAAATAAACAACATCAATTCGAAGTTATGGATCATATTTACATTCGTTCTCGTCATCATC